CTTGTTTTTCTCCAGGTGTAGCGGCATCACTTCTGTGGTAAAATCTGTAGGCAACAGCACCTAAAGTGAAAGTTAACCAAAAATTTTATGCTTTTTAAAACTGTATCAAAATACAAGTTTTTAGGTGCCTAATGTTGCCCGCAAGCTACTGGACGAGTCAGGTGCAAAACGGGAAACTGTCAATATGTGCCAATAATGCAGTGATCATGTCTACTTGCCAATTTTTTTGCTCGGCAATATTGGAATAAACTAGTACTTATTGTATTCTCTCAACTTAAACTAGTCTCCTTAACAGTAGAGGAGTTGACTCTAAATCTATGATCTTTTTTGGTATGCACATTTTGGGACATCAATGATAATTTTGTAAAAAGGATGAATATTACCAGACACTGAGTAATCCCTTCTTGCATCATGAGTCCATGTCCTCATTGCTGGGATGAGGACCTGCACACTCAGTTGCAAGCCAGACATCCCTTCTTGCATCGTTAATCCATGTCCCCATATCTGGGATGAAGACTCGCACTCGGTTGCAAGCCAGACAATTGCTTAGGTGTGGTGCGGGATACTCGTATAATCTTGCTCTTGCCAGACCTTACTGAAACTTTTACAAGGTGTTATTATATTAAGAATGTTTTATGAAGAAAATTGTAGATAAAAGCAAATGATCTTGGTTCGTATAACAGCTACCTGTATATTTCTATTTAATAATTGTGGATTTACTCTATGTATGAAAGTGACCTTCACAAAGTCATTGGAATAATTTTATCTATCATAAAATGTTTGCATAAATTTTCCATTACAAAATTGATGAATATGGTAATTCATTGAAGTTGGATTGATTTTTTTTCATTCAAATCTATTTTATATGTTAGTAGTAATTATGTATAGTAGTAGCATCTGTTTCAGGAACTGCCCCAAGTATTTCTAATATTAGGTCAAATAATTGCTGAATTTATTTTGATGCACAAGATATTCTGGTAATTCAAGCCTGGAGGTGCAAAAGTCAATGTGTCATGCATTACATAGTAAACTGTGATCCACATAAATGCCTTGCCCATTAAATATAGACTTGACTAATTGACCCCATTTAAAGAATTTGGTATTCCATGTTCTTGTAATTCAGTAATGCACCTGTGGTCAAGGCGTGGTTACAGATGATTTTTCCAAAAGAAGAAAGAAGATTTATTATATCATTCTATCTAGAAGTGTTGTAGAAGAGAATTGATAAGTATTGATATGATTTCTTGTTATTTTTATATTCTCTTTATGTAGATGTCAGTCGTGTTATGGGTCCTCACATTTAGACATGAATTAACTGTCGTCCAATAGTTTCAGACTGGGCCTCCCTTATTCCCTTTGGCATTGCATGTGCTGCGGTTGGGTTTGGTGTGAAGACGGTCGTGGACAAACAGGTGAGTGTTTCTTCTTCTTTCTTTTCTTTTTCTTCTCCTTTCTTTCCTTACTTTCTTCTTCTTTTTCTTTGCTTCTCTTTGCTTTTGTTTTTTTCTTTCTTTTCTCTTTCTAATACTTATATTTTCCTTTTTTTTTTCTTTTTTTTTTTTTTTTGCTTTTTATCAGTTTTTCTTTTGTGTATTATCTTTTTTCTTTCTTTTCATCATCTTTTTTTCTTTATACTTTATCAGCTTTTCTTTGCTTTTTATCATCTTTTTTATTTGCTTCATCTTGTCCTCTTCTCTTTTCTTTTTCCTTTTGTCAGTTCTTCTTTAATGTTCTTTTTCTTTTTATTTACTTCATTTCTTTTTCTTATCTTGCTTTTTTTCTTGTTCATTACTTTTGTTCTTTGTCTTCTCTTCTCTTCTTCTACTTTTCTTCTTTTCTCTTGTTTTCTAAAGTTCTTCTTTGCTTCTTTTATATTTTTCTTTTATTCTCTCTTTTCTTTTTTTCTCTTTATTTTTTTCTTTTATTAATTTCTTCCTCACGAAAGCACAAGAGATTTCATGGTTTAGAACTTGTTAGATAATTAAGTCCTCTTGGTATGTTCAGATAAATAATGAATTAGAAATGTTCCTTTTTTGTAGAGAAGTGAAAGTAAATATTTGTAGTAAGAGGGAGAGAGAACATGAGGTTGTGAACGTGTACTGAAGCAAGTTTAATTCTAGCTTTCTGTGGGTCACTTTGGGAAAGGTGTCAAGGTGCATCCACTTGTGATGTACAGTGTTTTCCGATGATAAGGTAGAGAGAGGAAAATCTAAATCTAGATAAGAGGTTTTGAGAGGAACAGGATGAAATGATGGGATTCAGGTTCAATTATGTTTTTAGCGTATTTTACAAGTTTGTCCGTTGAAGTATTAAGAATAAGGAATTGTTGTATTGGGGTAATAACAGTATATGAAGTTTGTGAAAATTTAGAAAAGGGAAAAATGGCTTAATCAGTGACTAATTTTCATATCTTGCAATGTGTGATAACATTGTTTTGTTCTCAGAGTTGATAAATTTTTTTATAGATAGTTTTTTTTTGTTTCTTCACCTCTCCTCTCACTAGTATAAATAATTTTTTAGATTACCAAGATCATGTATGTTTTATATGTTGAAGATTTAAGCTCAACTCTTAAGCAAAGTATGCAGTAGATAGAGAGTTTATTTATTGTTTGAGATTTTTTCAAAAAGAGGTAGCAATGAGTAATCAAACTGCAATAGTTGGCTGGATTGATGATGACAAAAATTGAATCTGAACTACATTGCCTTGAAGACCCAGCATCATTGAACAAGCAGTTAATATCATATCTACTCAGAGCTGAAAGATCATGGAGTATTACATATTCTGCCAATTTGTTTTGGCTGTCGCACCAAATATGCTCTCGTACATGACCTGACTAATTTCAGATTGGTGGACCTTGCAATCCCAAGATCAGGAAAGGAGAGTCCAAGGTTGTTGATACTGTGGACATTGAAGAGCTGGGCAATAAGGCTGTCTTCTGCCGTTGTTGGCGCAGTAGCAAGGTAATGGAGAAATACGGTCTGTTTGTGTGGGAGAGGACAGTAAGGAGAGGGTATTGGTTTTCAGTAATTCTGGTATTATTATTGTTGTTGCTTTTGCTGCTGTTGTTATCATTTTGTTATATCTTATTATTATTATATTTATTTAGTTGAATATTTCAATATTAATAATTCCTTGATTGGATTGGGGATATGCAATTATTTAGTAATATTTCAATGTTCCAAGGATTTTGGAATAAAGAATGGCTATGTACTTGAATCAGATAATAACAAACTAGTTAAACCATGATAGAAGCATCATTAGACATAATTTTCTATTTATATTGTAAAGAAAAGGGATTTTCTTGACAAATATTTAAAAGTTCTGTAATTACCAATATTATAGAAATTCAAATTAATCAGTGTAAGATTATAAACCTCAGTACAAAAAACTGGTAATATGAAGTAATTTGAACAGCACAAGCTAATTATAGAATGCAGCTTATTGAATATGAAAACCGCCTTAAAGTAGCAACTTCTGTACAAAATGTTGTACTGAGGATTCATAGCATCTGTTTTTTAGTGAATTTTAACTTGGAAAGAGTTATTGTTTACTATATTTATGCTGTGGTAATTTTGTTTTTGTTTTTTATGTGGTTATCTGTTTTTAAAATACATATTTTCTGCCATAAGTCTCTCATAAGATTTTTTATTTACAGTCATTATAAGTCATTCTGTGATGTATTCCTAATAGGCCCAGACGTATTTATTTCTTATATTCTTTGCATGAGATTTTGTATACAGTCGTGACCAAAGTTTTTGAAAGATCTTTCACGTGAGATTTTACTGGTAAATGATGGAACAAACTTCAAATTGCAATTGACAGCTAGTCTTCTAAATGTAATTCCGTAATGTTCACTCAGGCAATTCTCAATTGTATAGGAAGGAAAGACCTGTAGAATAAACAGATTTTTGGTCTTAATATAGATTTCATGGGATATCTTAGTTTCACATATTGTGATTTGTGAAACCAACATTGGATGGTTTCCCTTGCACATAGACTTCCACTATTATTAGTTCAGTGGCCAGACAGGTCCATAACCTAAAATAATGATAATGTCAAAGCATTCGTGTAGGTTGGATTTGCAAATGCTAATATAAATGGGATGAAAGTTCATTTTGTATTGATTACCTCAATTTTTTTTATTTTTTCATTACTTCATTCCTTAACCTGTTCACCCAGGGTAGCATCTAATGCTTAGTCCACAATTTTACATTAATGCCTCTACAACCAGCCTCTTGAGTAATCAGAGCAGCACTGGTCTCCTAAGGGGCTAATTTGCTATACAGGCATTGTTACTGTGTTATGAAGATAAATTGATTATGATTGGTCTATAGAAATGACATGACAGTAATAGCAGTATGTCTTATTAGAAGAATTTCTAAACATTTCATGTTTTGTGTTGTATGAATTGTCACCCAATAGCTGGAGACTTGTGCTTGCCACCATGTGGTCTCAAAACACCCAAAAATGAGTCCTTGCTCCCTCAGAATAGTCACATATTATAACTGTGACATCTGTATAGTGTCTCAAAACATGCATCCTGTAGACAGACCTGTAGACAAAAGGTGTATAAAGTTTGATATCTGTGGAATGAGTGCAGTATATTGAAAGTATCTTTTGTTTAAAGGATAGGAAACCCCTGGAAAAAATTATTCCTGCCTCCACCAACTGCTATCATCATAAAGATTTGCATGAAGAATAATATAATTGATGTTTTACTTGTTTTCTCAAAATTAGGACAGATTGAAATAGATCTTAGTGGAGAATTAGAATATGGTGTTTGAATTGCCAATATAATGTAAAACTTTGGCCACTGATGTGATATACCATAACTTTCCTTAACCCGTTGGATCTGGTTGTGTCATGGAAATCACGGTGCCAAAAATCCGGGCATCGGGTTACATAAGTAGCCAACATCCCGGTTTTGTGGCGCATAGGCTGTGCGCTCACAAACACCCTTGAGTGATGACAAGAGACTGTGCCTCCCTTTGCAAAGTTATTTTGTGTAAATTTTTTTAGTTTTATCACCATTTTCCAATGTCCACATTTTTGTTTTGATTTGCTTTATCCAGATGGTAATTAATTATTTTCCTTGCACAGTCTCCATATCATTTCTCTATGTAGTGAATAACTCTATGCAAGGAAAAGAAAATAAGGAACATTTGGCTATTTGCATCATATACCTCATTTTTCTGTAATTTTCAATTTTACTTAATGCAATCTGCGCTGCTGGTCACCACGGCCAGGAATACGGTGCACAGCATGGAAATGGTGTCCTCCCTGGAACCAGTGCTCTTCCAGTCATTGCTTACGCACATAACATTCCACGTTTGTTTATTGATAGGAAAATATGCTAAAGCCCCCTTCTAAGTGCCAAATGAGTCAAATCACACTCCAAGAGGTTTGTGCACTCGTGGCGAGTCTTTTCCATTGCCCAGGCCTTCGCTCATGATGGCAGGTTCGCGTCACCCGGGCCGTGGCCATTTTGCCCGATGACAGCATCAGATTTTTCCATGACATGACCCCAACGTCATTCGGGTCCAATGGGTTAAGGAATAATGTTTTAATTCTATTTGCAGGAATTTTAGATAATTTTTATTCATGTGCTCTATATATGATGTGTCAGTTGGACAATAAGGTCATTATTGCTCTTGGTCTTTGTGCAATTTTATTGCATTTAACAAATGGTTCATGTAATTAAATTTAAGCAAAAATTGTATATGTGTGCACAGAATTATGAACCATGAAGCATAATATTAGACATTTGTCACTAATGGTTTTCTCTTAATTTTTTGGGCAATTTTTAATGAAATTGTGAAATGTTAGATAGTTAACCCACTTCTAGTCATACAGTGTTGTCATTGCTATGCATTTGATGTTGCAATTTGTGCCACACAGGTGAATGGTGAGACTGAATGTATGTAGAATTTTTTTTTCCCAGGCTCAGTTAACTATTTGTTTATAAAGGTGTTCTTTGTTGTATAGAATAAAATCCGCTAAAGGGTGGTCTCCTGCAGCACATCCTTTGTCAATGAGTGTGAGCAGATATTTTAAGTTGCCTAAGCATGTGAGAATAAGGATGAAGACATAGTTACTGATATTTTGGTTTCCTCTTTCATGGTCTTGCTGTGCTGTGTCCTGTGACATTGTGGTCCTCCATGCATTGAGCCTTTGTGAAGATTGCTTTTATGTGGAAATGCTGTGGTGTCAAGGATGGCTTATGTGTAGAACTCTCGTGGTGTAATGACAAAAGTCTTTATTTGCCTTTAAGGATTTTATTGGGTAATTGATGATGATCTGGGATGCTAGTTATTATTTCAGTGGTGTTAGTGCTGATGTTTATTGAGGGTTAAGCTTGTAGCATTTTTTTTTTTCAAGGATGTAGTTTCATTGTCATGAGTATTGAGTCCTGCCGTACCTTGGGGATTTTGTTTGCTGCATCATCATGTTTATTTCATTCAGTTTTATAGAGCAAGCCATAAGGACGTAGTTTTTATTCTTCGATAGAATGAAATATTACATAAAGTGAGCTTTACTCATAGCCATTTTAATTCTCATAAAGACAAAATTAGTTTCCATTGTCATAAATTTTCTAACAGATTTTGTTCTTTCAGTTCCCATATTGTGACGGCACCCACAATCAACATAATGTCGCATGTGGTGACAATGTAGGACCCCTCATCGTTAAGAAGAAGGATTAAACGAGCAAATAGAAGTCTATAGTGAGCACACTAGAACCATCTCTCTGGCACAGTGAGCTATAAAGACATTGTAGCCTGTAGTGAATATAACCAATTACAATACACTATACTATAATACCTACCTATGTGTTGGACAAGATGTGGTGAAATGTATGTAGTCTATTGTCATGGTAAATATTTGAAAACTTGCACATGTTTTATTCTAATTTAATTTTTAGAAAAATATTATTTTACATTTTAACACCTCCAAGATACTAGGAATTGAGTTTGATTTGTGTGCCAGGTTATATTGAGTACAAAAATTTGCTTGTCTTGATTTTTTTATTGTGAAGTCTTTTGATAATTTGTTTTTGTACATTGCTTTCCAAACCAAAACAAATAAACAAAAAAAGAACATGATGCACTTTGAATAAATTAAACTTGTGATTGAAACTGTTTTGTTGAATAATAAGCAAGGAATGTATTAAACAAGGCTGTGATGACGAGATATAATATGTAAATGTTTACTGGTTCTTTGTAAATACAAGATCAGATTTGTCAGAGATATACCTCAGTTTTGGTTTGATCAATGATTAATTTAATGATATAAATAACTAAAGCTAGTGTTGCAAATGCCAAAAAGTGAAAATTGAATGGATAAACATGCATGATTTTCTAAAAAAAACAACTGAATCTGCACATTTTGCACATATTGGCCATTTGAAGAAGGTAGCTATTTCTGATTTTTCTGTTGAAGCATGCAGGAAAGAAAAGAAAATATAAAAGTTATTTTGTCAATAAATATAAATGACAAATTAATGGTTGCATTTCATTCCCTTCCCCCACTAATTAAGTCTACCTTAGGTTTTACATAATTGCTTTTTATTTATTGAACACCCGAACCATGCCTGTTGTTGCCGTGGGGTGGCTCAGGAGACGGAGACTGAAGCCCAGTGGTGAGGATCTCCCGTACCATGGGCCTCAGCCCTCGCCTTAACCAATTTCCTTCTTCTCTTTCTTTCCCGTTTCTTTCCAAATCCGTTCTCCTGCCCACTTCCTAAGATGTGAGAGCCATCTTGAAAAGATTAAAGGCTGGTTTGGGTCATTCTTGAATGACCTCAGCAGGCCATGGGCACAGAATTCGCCCATTTTGTTATCTATCCCTTACCCCTCATGGGGACCCTTTAGGGTGAACCATTTCCGTCACATACATCAGGCTTACCATGGCCAATAATGAATTTATTCCCTTATAAGAGGGTTTGAGGTTTACCCTTTATCAACTAGCCCCTCAGACATTAACATTACAGGTTCCCGGACCCTTGGTCTCTTGATCTTGACTCTATACGCTGCTTTTACTTCCCTTTTACTTTTACTTCTATCAGCTCAGTCCATTCCAAGTCACCTACCAGGTCATTACTTAACCTTCAGAAAACATTCCTTCCTCTCTCCTAACATTCTCCATTCCATCGCCTCATCATCTTGTTCACCTCTTCTAAGAACTACCTTGCTCTACACAACTTCCTCCCATCCTCGTTCTTCAACTACTTCCACTTCTACAAATCTTTTAAATACACTTCAGCACAGCTAAATGGGATTTTTTTTTTTTTTTTTTGTGATTTCCCATACAGCTCTATACTCTCACAATACCCTCCTATTCTGTCTCTAAAAAACAAGTAGGCAAAGTTTCCCTCTGTAGCCTTTCTTATTGTTCACGCCTTGTCAATTACATCCGAGTCCCAGGCTTGTGCATTATCTACCCTGACTGACCTCACTAGCAAAACTATTCCTTCATAGCCTCACTCCTCACTTAATACTTGTACTGGAACTGTTTCCATCTCCACTCCACTTCTTGCATGACTCACTGACTATGATGCAGTATCTGTACACTGCTACACTATTCCCCCCAGAGTCGGACAAAGGTCATACACTAACCTTGCCAAGATTACTTCCTGTAGACACGACCTCTGCAATGAAGTTTTTCTTGGTAGAGGGTCCTCCTCTATCAGGCCTTATCAACCCCTTCCCTGTCAATGTTGGTATTTTGGCCACCCTGCTATGCAGTGTCGCTCCACAGCCTTCTGCCTTCTAGTGCCCAACGTATCCATGAACATTCAAACTGCCATGCACAATCACGCACATGTGCCAATTGTGGTTGTTCCCTTATATTTCATAGGGGTTGCCCTACCTACAAGTTTGAGTAAGTCCTCAAATTCCAACTTGGCCCACCTTTATAAGAGACCAGGCAGGAAGGACGCCAAGTTTTTCTCTTGCTACTATTCCTGCGTATCCTCTCTCCTCTCCCCCCCCCCCCCCCCCCAAGATGTTTCTATATCTCCCCCAGTATTACTTCCTCCTACTTCTTAATTGTAGGTTCCCACTTCTACCCCATCCCTCTCCCAGTTATTTCGCCATTCTAAATCCACCAAGCTCTACTGTCCCGGTACCTACCCCTCCTCGCTAAACTCATCACATCAGGAAATCTAAACGTTCCACTCCATGTCTTACTGCATCCTCTTACATCTACACTTCTCACCACTGTCCCCTTTTCTCCCCCTCAAAAAAAACGTTTCTCAGACCACCCCAACCAACTCCATTTCAGAAATTTGTGAGGATATTCAAAACTATCTATACCTCATCCATCCTACAATCTGAACCGTATTCATGCTGACAAATGTAGAAAAGGTATGAAAGTGAATGAATATCTTCACAATACAATACATCTCTTGTATTAAGATTATATTCATTCTCATTCATACCTTTTCTACAATCTCCAATCTCTCAACTCCCATTCTCTCTACACTCAAAGTGACTGCCGATATCCATCCTACTCACGTTCCCCCTGTACCCCTTCTTCCTATTGCATCCCATCCTGACTTGCTTCATCTGCATTGCTCCCTCTTCTGCTTCCTCCAGGATGCACAAACAACTTCCTTAGGTTCTCTCCTGACATTTCTCCTGAAACTGCTTTGACCTATCGCCCTTGACTTTCTCTCCTTTTTTAATCCCTACCTTACCCCTTAGCATCCCTGCAGAATCTCACACCCTTTCTTTTGACAACTTTGATCTACTCACCCTTTTGTCAGTTCTTATCTCAACCCATTTGTTCAACTTCTCTGCCCTCACCCCCCTTTACCCATTTCTATACCATACCATCCTAAACTGCTGTAAGACCTGACGTGTAACACATTTAATCATCAACTTAAACCCCCCATCTTTACCCTTTTCACTACAACACATTTCTATAGTTCTATATGAGCCATTGACCATTCGTTGAAGAATTAAGGGGATACTGTGTTCAAGTTTGACTTCCATCAGATATTTGTTTTTTGTTCAAAAGAGGAGGTTGAAGGAGATTCACTTTACCACGTCATTGTGAAATCCTAGGGAATTATTTTTTCTTACCAAGTTAATAGCTCCATATGTCAATCGTGAGGGTAGCCACCTTCACTCACCTGTTCAATGTGAAGTAAAAGATTCATAAAATCTTTCATATCGGTAACAGATAATCGCTGTTGCATAGTAATGGGATGGATAATGAAGTGGCATGTTAATTTTTTCACAAAGTGTTTTTCCTACGTATTGGCATTGTTACAACTTAAAGCTACTGCAGATGTGAGCTCACAGTCTGGGAAAGTGTTAATGGAGGAAACACTTTTTGTCTGGATTCTAGGTTAAAAGCCTCAGGTGGAAAATATATCCCGCAGATTATCAGCAACCATTTGAATCGAGCCACAATGTTTCCAGGTTAACAGTGACTGCACAGATTTATTTTGTGTTGCTTGGGACATGGACTTCGATATGAATACTAATCTCGCCGCCTTTTGTAGAATTTCATTACACGACCGCCACCTTTCTATGGCCTCAGGGTTTCTGTAATTCCTGCAACACCGTTAGTCACCCCACTACCCAGACTGCAAAGTTTCGTGTTTGTTTTCGTTTAAGAAGACATTCACTATGGATGATTCTGATTTTAAAAAAACTTATGATTCTGTAAACGTTATATTCACTGAAACGGCGGAGCTGGCGTATTATGAGGGAACCATTTTCACTTTGAATGTATGTACATCTTTATCTTTGGAAAGTTAACAGCTAAATGTTTTTCAGTACTTACCTCGAATGCACTACAGTGGCATTTTGTTATATAGAGCTGTGACAACTCTGGTTTGTCTCCTTGTAGGAATTTACCATACTATCTTTCTTTCCTTGTTTTCCTTTAGCTTGTTTTCTTCAATTACCTTTTTCTGGCACTGTGAGTGATAATTCGTCTCCCTCTCATCATTTGCGTCGTTAGGTAACAGTGAGTCGAACATTTCCGGTGTTAGTATGCGTTGGCTGTTGTTATTTATTGCAACAAGCGTCGTGATGCCACTGTCAAGTTGGGGGATCTGGCGACATAACAAGCTAGTACTGACATACGGAACTGATGCAGCTGGTTCAGTGGTTGCATGGCCTAGAATGGGTGGCGAGGTGGTCGATTTCTCATGTCGTCTCTCTGCTGGGGTAGGGCTTGATTTGGGAGGTATTTCAATGGTCATATGAGTGTGTATGGGCTAGTTAATGAGGAGAGTAAGAGAGAAAGGGAAAGGTTAGTAGCAGGATGCGTTCCAGAGAGACTGTCATATCTATAGGTTTCATCGATTGGAAAGCTGCTTTTGACCTATCCCTCTGGAAAATACAAGACACTAGGGATCCCACTGAAGATAGCACCACTTTTCCGGAAGCTTTATAGCTGCGTTGAAGTGAATGGAATTGATTGAGGATGGTTCTTCATCAAGAGCAAGTCCGACAGGAAGGCGTCACTGCGCCCCGACCTCCTCAACTGCATTGTCGAGTATCGAAATTGTTTCATAAACTGGATAATGGATATAAAATGTTTCATAGAGACAGCAAGGCAGTACTTTGCAGGAATGTAAGGTATAGTTCGAATTTTCCTCCTTTCCATGTATAATAGGCCTTCACTGCCATGTCTACATGATCATCCCTCGAAAAATTATATCCCGTGATGCCTACTTCTGACGCCCGATGACGGCCTATCACGCCATGTCAGACCAACTCTCACACCGGGAGGACATCGCGTCATGGCAGTCGATACATGCTAAAGAGTGAATATTTACCACTGGCTGCATTCGCCGAGGAGAAATGGCCCCTGAAAAGTGGGAATAAAACCTCTATTTATCATCATTACTAAACGAATCGATTAAACATCAGCTGGGAGCACAGAAAACGCGGTTATTTTTGTTTCCCCTGCTTCTTGTTTTCCTTCAAGCAGATGACTGCACGCTCCCTGACGTGTGTGTGTGGGTGTGTTGCACATTGGCGTTGCAAGACAATTGGAGGCCCGGGGGTTTGGTCCTGTTCTAGGTACATAGATGGATATCTTTTAAGGCCCTTATATCTCAGCGAGCCGTGAACCCCCCCCCCACACCACACCTCTTCAGATACGTCACTGTACATCCATACGTACACGTTTGTCTCTATATGTGTATTTATGTATTTTTCGAAGATATCATTAACACACACACACACACACACACACACACACACACACACACACACACACACACACACACACACACACACACACACACACACACACACACACACACACACACACACACACACACACACACACACACACACACACACACACACACTGTATTTTACTTCTTACTTGGGGTGGCTTCCAATTTAAACTTTTGTTACATGTATTTAATATCAACAAGATTCGTTAACAGGATATTTGTTAGAGAAAACGAAACTTTTGTAGTGAAGAACAATTTTGCGTTAGTCTTTAGGGTCAAAGGTCATCTTTGTTATAA